TGCGCACAAATTGCAGCGCTATTAGTAGAGAACAAGCACACATTCTGTTATATTTATCTCATCTTGGGTACTTTAAAACTAATGCGAATACATTCAATAAATTTAAAAACTAATAAATTTAACTTTACTCTAGTTATTATCACAATTTGCTGCAAAATTTCTCGAATCCCAGTACTGGAAAAACAGCTTTAGGGTATATGGGTCAAGGTTTTATATCCGCATTAAAAAATGAATTAACAAAATATTATGGAATGATTGCAATGCTGCAGGAACAGGTATATATATTATGAACAAAATTATATTATTTCTTGACTGATTTTTATATTTATTGATAGCTTAATCAACAACGAACTTCGTACCAAAAAAATTGCTATGAAAATGTTAATGAAAGTCTTACTCTAACTAAATTGATGGTCTGGGCTGCTGAACCATTGCATCGATTAAAGTGTTTAACTATAATAGCAGAGAAATGTAAGGTACAAAAAGGTGGTGAACTTGCTTCAACAATTTATAGCTTTCTGGGTCATGGTAATCCAACAGTTAAAGCATTAGCAAAGGATCTTTTACTAGCAGTATGCCATCCATTATATCAAATGCTCTCTCATTGGATGTTAGAAGGCGTGATTTCAGATCCACATAACGAATTTTTTATTAAATGCATAAACGATGTTGGACCTGAGCGTTTATGGAAAGATAAATATAGCGTTTGTACTGATATGCTACCTACTTTTATATCCATGGATTTGGCTAATAAAATACTTATTACTGGCAAAAGTATTAATTTTTTAAGAGAAGTTTGTGAAGATAAGCGATTGATGGAAGGCCGCGATGAATTACTCCAATGCATAAAAAAAGATGGTATAAAAACCAGTTTAACATTTTGTATAGTATATTTATTTCTTTTATGATGTATTCATTTAGGAGAGCAAATTTTTTCACAAGTGCCTGACACCAAATTACATGGCATAATTGAATCGATTTTTGAAAAAACTTCCAAAAGTGTTTTAGACAAAGTAAAAGGGGAATATAAACTCGAATTTCATTTACAAGCGCACAGACGTTACTTGCTTTTAGGTCAAGGAGATTTTATATGTGTCTTAATTGAGCTTCTTAAGTAAGTTAAAAATTTTTAAGAAATATAACATTTTAATAACATATGTTTTTTATAAGAACTGAATTGTATAAACCTGCCAAAGATCTGCGAGCTAGTGATCTTACTTCTATAATGGATTCTGCCATACGATCAACAAATGCACAGTTTGATGGTGCAGATGTTTACAATAATCTACATATCTGCTGCAATAATCCGTGTAATGGAGAAATTGGTTGGGATATAGTGTCAATTATTTATAAAATAGATGGACCATTGGCAATATTGTTTGAGGATACTAATCAAATTTACCAAGTTTTATTTAGACCTCTTTGGCGTATGAAGCACATGGAACATATGCTTTCTACTAAAATTTGGAAAGATCAAAAATGCAATGATAAGGTAAGTGATATATATTGAGTAACAAGAATATAATTTTATCAACTAATCATGACGATTGAAACCATTGTTGGACTATGCCTTAGTAATACATTGTATATGTTTATTATGAGAGCAAATTTCGTGAAAAACTGCTTCTCTCTTTTCTTAAAATACTAAGTACAATAATCAACAATGATATTTTAAGATTAACCTTTGTTACAATCAGTAAGATCATAATTATGCCTAATTCTTATCATAGATACATCGACCCCTACCCCAATGAAGATAACAACAGTGAGTTCTATTTTAGGCAAGAGTTATTCGCCCGTCATATCGATGCAGTCCTATTGGCTCTTTTCTGAGCCTTCTAAATTCTATAGATTAATGGCAAGATTTTTCAATCTGCACTCAAGTTAGATTTAACATCCCTACATATCACCTCATCCTTACTCCATATCGCTTTGCTCATCCTATTCCATACACACATAATGCTTAGTTAGTAAAGATATTTTAAGATATAGTAAGATATTTGACATATGCCTAACTGAGCAGTATCTTGATTTTAGCTGTTAACAGCTAATTCATTTCAGAAGATATCGTTTGCAATATTTTACGTTATTTTAAAAAACTCTTAAGAAAGTGAAGTTATTGTTGTTCGGTAAACTAGGGTGGTATCTGTGATAATTTCTGAGTAAACAACGCTAAATGACTTGTTCGGATCTAGGCACAAGGATACACAACACATAAATATAAAAAAAAGAGCTTTAAAATGTTTTATTTTTTCTGAAAAGTAGATAGCATGTAAATACAAGTGCAACGCTACCTGAAGACATCAATTGATATAGATATGTTGTCTCTATAGTATTTCTTCATATACATAAATAAAGTATCTTAACGTTTTCTACACAACAATTACATTAATTAACATTATAGTTGCTGTGCAGTTCATAGCACAAAGTTCATGTGAAGAATATGCAGTGCGCATTTATACATTAATTAATAGACTTGAATATTATATGCTTTAATATTATTAAATTTCGGTTTGGTAATTAAATGTTAAACAAATTCATAAGTTTCGTTCCTTTTTTTGAAACTTAAGTTTATTGTGTTAAATTCGTTATCGAAGATTTGAGCAAATAAATTAAGTTTTATTGAATGTTAATGGAAACTATCGGATTAGATTATTAATCTAATCTGAAGCTTAACATTCCGTGTACGTAAATTGATTTAAGTTCAATGTTCAAACGAAAGAAAAAGACAAAAAGTTTGATGTGTAAAAAAGGATTTATTATAGCATTATTAAGTAAACGTGTTTCATATTATATACATCATCACCGTATCGAACCCACATACAAATTTACTGGAATATTATTACTGCTTAATTATCAGATTACATATAAAAAATGTAAAACCTCTGTCAGTATTTACAACTTGGAGTCAGTCTTCAACAGAGGTGCCAGCTTCTGTGTCAACATGATGTTGCCAGCAATCTTTAGCTTTCCTTTCATAAACGCTGCTTGTGGATTCAATTTGCCTAAGGCAATGTCAACAAAGTCTTCATCGGAACAGGTTAAGGTTGTGTCAACTTTAACATCCTTTGCTGGTCCTTCGTAAACTTTAACGTTTTTGCAATCAATTGCTAAAAATCAAAAAATGTTAGTTTAATTATTTTAAAAAAATTTACGAGATTTTAAAAGCATAACGTAATGACGTAGTCTTTGTACAGTTTTTTTCCTCACATTTACATTTACCCTTTGTACCCAATGTATTGCTAAGCAAATAAGTGATAGAATGCTAGTTTTTTAAGTCGTAGAATGCTATTTTATCATTTACATTGTTAATACATAATAATTTTAATTACTTACTCCATTCTTTGACTACTTTGCCATCCTTTGTAATTTTATACAGAAAAACACCATTTACGGCTTTAGCTTTTGCTTCATTGTCTTTAACACCATCAATAATTTTTTGGAATATAGCATCTGACGGTAGGGCCATGTTTGTTGAATATAAGTTAATACTTTTTACTGTAATACAAATATTTCAATTAAGTAAAATTTATGTTTTACACTATTTGTTATATTAAATTCTAATATTGCATGCTTACACTGTGAATGACGAAAGTGAATTAAATCGGTACAATACGAAAACGTCAAATTTATGGCGAAACTCCCATTTCCTCTACATGCGCATTCTGCTGTTTTTTTGATTAGACATTTGCACTATAGAAATGTTAAGGTGAAAACTGTGAGACGAGTTACAAAATAAGGCAGTATATTCAACTACTAATATGTAAAGCTTGCTGTTATTTATACCCAACTACACGCTCTTACTACAGTAGCTAACAGCTCTCAGTGTAGATCATTTGCAAGAAATACAGTAACAAGTGACTGTAGCTTAAATCTCAGTTAGACGGTAGGTAACGTTAGAAATTAATTCAAAGCGAAATGCACAACCAACCAAACCTGGGTATTTGATAGGAACGAAATAAATAAAAACAGTGTACTTTGTTTATTTCGTTTCTATCAAACACACACGTTTGGTTGGTTGTGCATTTCGCTTTGAATTAATATCTTACGTTACCTACCGTCTAAAGGGCCCATTAGACAGCAACGTTCGTTGTCAACGCGCGCTTGCCATTACACAAACAATTTTTTAAAAATTTTTTAAACACGCCCCAGATAAAACAACAAATATACTAAAAAATCGCTCTCACATGAGAATTTTTTTCTCCTATTTTTCTCCTACTTTGTGAAAAGCGAAATTTGTTTGTGTAATAGTAACATTTGAAATTTTAAGAAATGTGTTGACGAAAATCAAAAAATTTTGATATTTCTTCAAACATGCTCGTGTTTTGCATATCAGTCGATTTGGTCTGCATGCAAATTTTTTTTTTTTTGAGAAGTAGAAGCGTAAACATCGTTTAAATGCACGCATGATTTGTCGTTAGCATGCGATGCTTTGCAAATATGAATGAATTTTATTTTAAATATTTGTATTTTCTACCTAGGTAAAATTTTTTAATTTCCAAAACATTTTATTAAGGAGAATTAAAATATTAATAACCTTGGGCTAAAAAAAAATAACCAAACATTAAATTACAATAAAAATTTTGTTTTAAATATTAATTGCATTGTGCACCTACGGAAAATTTGTTATTAAAAAATACCAAAAAAAAAAATTAAATTAAATAAAATATAATATATATAAAAATAAATATATAAATTGAAATCATAAAAATATATATAAAAATATATAAATTAAAATTATAAATTAAATGTAAAACATCATTTTTCGTAAGGAAATTACGCATAGCAGCCGCTGTCGACAGTTCAGCGATTGCTTTAATACTGATGAGTGAACAAATTTTGCATTGTTTGCTGGAGGCGTGTTTAAAAAATTGTTGGTAAATTTAATGTGTAATGGAGAGAGAAGACTTCGTGTGTTTGTCAACGCGCGTTGATGTCTAAAGGCCACTTAACTGAGCCTTAAGGCTCAATTAGTTTGTCGTAGAACGCAGAACACAAATAAAGTCATTAGTTATTACAGAGACCTGACAAAGCAGCATAGCTTAAACGCATAAAACACATCTTCAGCTTGAACATCAAATACTTTGCACACAAAGAAATGCAGCGCAATTGCTCAATGTTTTTAGCAGCTGATATAAAATCTCTTCTATGCAAAAGAGACAAAACGAGAACAATATGTGATCTGAAATGAGCAAAAAACGAATATGTGTTTTTACATACTTAACCTTACTATTATTTTTATT